TACAGGGTTCCTACGCACCTGGAAAGTCAGGGAAAATCAGGGAAAGTCAGGGATTTTCATTATTTTTTGAAAAAGTCAGGGAAAGTCAGGGAATTTGTCAAAAATTATCAAAAAGTCAGGGAATTTGTCGAAAATTGTCAAACAGTCAGGGAATTTGTCTCCTTAACTGCGTTGTTGATTTGGTTTGCTGAATATAGATGACCAATCACAGCCATACGCAGGCGGCAAGAAGTAATGCTGCAATCTTTAAAACCCGAGATAACTCGGGAAAGTTCCATAGCGTTATATAAAACTCGGGCATTTGGGCCCTCCGAAAAAATTTTTGTTTTTTTTGGATGTTTTTTAAGTCTCCAAATTTTTTCAAAAATTTTTTCCCGCGCGAAAATATTTTATCGCGATTTTAATATACCTTTAATGACGCACGATTAACTCTTAATTGTTTTTTAATGGGAGTTTTTTTTATCAAATTTCATTCATCGTTCTAAACTTCTCGTGCACGGATTTTACTTCGGTAAAGTTATTTAAAGCTAGTTTCTGATGTCAAAAACGATCTCCAATAGTTTTTTAATTGTTTTAATAGATTTTTATATACGTTTAATTAAGTCGGGGTGTCGAAAATCTCAATAAAAAACGTAATTTTTGAAAAATCTTTAAAAATATACAGCTAGCTAGTATTCACCCTACTTTAAACTCTTCTCTTCCTATAAATTTTATGAGAATGTTCCGCGAAAGACGATACCAGCTGTTCTCAAGGTCATCCAGCTGTAAACACAATTACTCATCGGCGTCAGATTTCGCGGAAAGGCGAGACAATGGAAAATAAACTTTGAAGCTTTCTCTTCAAAATTAACGCATTTCTTTCGTTTTTTCAGTTTTAAGTATTTTTTTATGTTTAATTAAAAATTCCTGAACAAAAATTCGAACAAGTGGTTAATATAAGCAAGAAAAAACAATTAAAAATATACAAGCAGATAATAAATACAGTACCAAACAAAACTACTCATACTTGCGTATCAGCATTATTTTTTTCATACTTCTATTATAAAAATTTCATTTTATACAAATTTTTTCAATAATATTAGTAGACTGATATTCAGTGACCACGAACTTGTGCTAACCACTGGGAACCAGTTTGTAAACAGACTACCTGAATTCAAGAGGGTTAAAGTTATATGAGGCGTAATAGGCTTTGGGAAGTTGCATTAGAATCTTGATTTCCCATTCCGGTAAGTTGATCTATCATCTCGCGGTAAAAAATACCGCAAGATGGTCGGGCAGCCGTGGCAGGGATCATGCTGTCTATAGCAAAATTTAGAATTTGCGAAAATTTTATTCACCTGGTGATTGGAGTGGCGAATGGCCGCAAAACACTCCGCAATAAAAAAGAAAAAAGTCACTCGGTGAAGAAGAGTATCAAAGAACATGAATTGGTCTAGGTCCGATATAATTTTACTATTAATAAGCAAAAATTATGTTGCTTGAAAAACTCAGTCCTAGTAACTCTGCGTGTTTTTATATTGCCGGTCATACTTTCGTTTCTGGTTGGTACAAAACTAATACGAAAAAGTAACCTAGCGAATAACTCTCTGTTTTGGCAAATAAAAAATGTTTGGCGAATGCTATAAAATAGCCAGGGTGACCCTGGGTATGGGGTTTTTCCTGCATTGATAGGATGGGAGGGATGCTGGAGGATTCCTAGTTGATATCAAATGCGCTGAACCTAAATACTCCTACAGGGTTCGGCAAGGCCAGCAATGAAGCGATGAGGCACGGCACTCCCAACAAATCCGGGATTGACTCAAACGAAAAATTTCTGAGGTTTTAGATCCAAGTGGATTAGTTTCTGAGTCCTCCAGAGTGACGATACATTTTAACCCCTCGCCCAGATGTTTCAATGTATTATATAATAAAAGATTACAATAATTAATAATAATTAAATTTAATGGATATTATAATATTTTATTAAAATTATTTTTGCATAATATAATTTAGATATTAAAAATTGTATTATTTGAGAATTTAAAATAAAAAATATTTTAATTAATGCGTCATTAATGCTTCAATTAGATGGCGCTAGGAGAAAATTTTCCGGCATTCGGGATGATGGGTAAACAGACTAGCATAGTTTGAATTAGAGTTTATCATCAAATGGATTCAGATGTGACTCATGATATTAAATTTTATTTTTCTGATTCTTGCGACGAATCCAATCACGAAGATGCCGCTTTAGACTGCAATGATGAAAATAGGTAAGATAAATGATAAATTTTCTAATATATTTAACATTGTTAGTAAATTTTAAATAGAAAAAATGATGATAAACAGAATGATTTGCATTTTATCAACGATTAATATAAATAATTGTGCTGTTTAATGTATTTTGATAAGAATGTAATAGTAAAAGTTTTGGATTTAAAGTTTATAAAGCTATTAGAAAAATTTTTAATATTTTTGCTATATTAATGCATGTAAACACAATTTTTAACTTTAATCTTTATTTTATGTCATTAATTCTAAATTATTACAGTTTAAAAAAATTAATATAAAAAATATCTTTTATATATATGTATATATATATATATATATGTATATAGTGAGTTAATCGCCCCTAAAATGGGAAGTAGACTGTTCCATGCGTGAGTCAGTTTGTACCCTCTTCCACCAGCTACCTACACCAGCTGGGCTGAGCAAAACTTGACGACAGTTGCTGGGGAAACAAACCCCCTATCTTACACCCCCTGTNATATATATATAAATTTTGTTTGAAATTATTTTATTTGTATATAGGTATAATTATCATTAATTTAATTTTTATAAGAAGAGTTTATTAGTGTCAGTCATTCTAATTGCTATTTGATGTTAAAACATACGAAGCATACTCTGTATACAGCGGCAGATCAAGCGGTTAGCGGATTAAACGGCTGCATAGGGCCCTGGAATAGAAAAGGGCCCCGAGGTCTTGAAAATGCTACTGAAAAAAGGGATTGCAAAAATGCAGAAGATAGAGATAGTTCAGAAAGATGCTTCAATATAGACACCGAAGTAATAAATGATATAGCTTTATGGCCAACAATATTAATAACTTAATTAATTAGAGTTTTCTTGAAACTGTTTTTTCTAACTCGAGTTTGAGAGCCCCAAAATTTTTACTGCTTGGGGCCCCACTTGACTTAATTCGCCTCTAAAATATATATAAATAATATATAAAAAGTGAATTATTTTAAATAGAATTATATAAATATCTGAATAATTAAATCTAAGAGAGATTTTTTTNGGGCCTCGCGCCTCGAAGGTTTATGCATTACTTAAAAGCCATGAACGCGACGAAAAAATTTTACTCGTCATAAAACGATAAATAGTTTGTCAAATTTTTATTCATAAAAATGCAGTTTCAACCGCTTTTTATTTTATAAAATCCATCTTCTTGTGCAGCCAGAGGGCCTTTTAAACAATAGGTAGTCTGTTAGCGCTGGTCAGTAGTAGTCCAAATTCAATAAAACATTTGTTTCTTGAAAATTTGATCACGATTTAAATACAGTATTTACTTTTAATATTACTGATATGTCATCGAAAAGAAAATGTGTTGTATTATCATTAAAAGACAAATTAAAGTAATAAAATAAAATTGAAGACAAAACTGTCTTCAATTTTATTTTATTAAAAATAATTCTCCATCGGACAAACTTAAACAGAACAAATTAAAGTATTTGTTTTGATTTTTTGGATTTTTCCTTATCCGGACAACCTTCATCCCCAATTAGTCTGGATAATTGAGGTTCTACTGTATAACTAACTATACATATTATGTTTTTGAATATTATTTCAATGAATTTAATAGTACAGTGTTTTGCAGATTTAGAAAATATTAATATCCCAGAATGGATTATGGCACCATTTTCCACTCAAATTAAAAATGTCCATATCAACTTGCAAGATGAACTTATTAAATTATTAGCTGACTTTGAAGCAAAAGTGCTTTTTAAAAATTTTAATTTGAGCAATTTCTGGATGAATATAAATATAACACAAAAATACACAAAACTTTGTGATATGGTAAATCCTGTTTTGCTGGCATTTTCAAGTTCTTATATGGTTGAAGAGGTTAAAATGGAATTATCATGGCTGAAACTGGCTATGATAATTCCATCTTAAAGTTGAATGTGTAACTTTCAGGCAATTTAAGACTAAAACTTACAAATTTTGAACTAAATATTGCTAATCTTGCTAAGGATCAAGCTCACCTATCTCACTGATTGTCAGTTACAAAAATTATTATTCACATACAGTATATAAAATAAATGTAAAAAATGTAAAATTAAAAGAAATGTAGCCTATTAAAATAGTAAGAGGTTTTTTTTTTTGCTTGTAACACAAACTTTTTGTGGGAGTCAATGTGAGCTTTATAGTGAACAGTTGAGAAGACTGAAAATAAAACCAATTTTTGTTGCATATAGTAAAACCAGAAGAAACTATGAAAAACTGGTGCAAAATTTCTCATAATCACTTTTACATCTATGATTCTTTTTTTTTCATTTAAGGATGATTTATCATCCTAGCAGAGTGTCACATGTCTTTAACAAAGTTAAATCTTGCATTTAGGTCAAATGCTAGGAATCATTTTAAAATTAATTTTTGTGTTATGGAATGTATAAAAGGACACAAAAGATTAAAATATAATGGAAATGTAAGCAAACATTTGTATATTGTTCAAGAAAATTAATTTTATTTTTATATTAATTTTATTTTTATTAAATAAACAATAAGGGAAACAGTTTATAATATTGCCTTTTTTGTCCCTCTTGAAACTTTTGCAGTTGATTTTATCACTTATGATATAAAATGAATTTTTAATGAGTCCTAAATATTCAATGTAGATAAGTGATATTTAGGGTCAGAGACCTGAATTTTATGCAACGGTGAATGAAAATACCACTAAATTTAATCTTTTTATGTTCAGAAATTCATGAATTAAATACCTTGCATAGCATATATTTGTTTGAATTTACAATATGGTTTTCAGTCAATGGTTTTCAACTGGATGCTGCAGCACAGTAGGGTGCCTCAGTACTTCAGGAGTTTCATGAACAAGGCATCAAGAGTGAGTGAGCTGAAAATTTTTCCCTGGACTTTTAGAAAACTTAGGGACTCAGTGTTTCCTAGCTATAAAATGAATACTTCTTACATGTTGGCTATTACTGAAAGTATGAAAAGTGCAATAACTCTACATTGATTAAAAAAAAAGTAGGGATACCACAAGAAAAATATTGTTAAGTTGGAATGTCACTATTAGAAAAAGGTTGAAAAACACTGGTTAATTACTAAAGTACAAGTATAACAATACACACTTAAATAATTGTCACTTAACAAGTATAAATTTGCAGCAGTGATTCTCAAGTACATCTACAAGTTGCTTTAAGATAAATTATATATGACCATCATATTTAAATCTTAACTACAGTAAAACATTGCTAACTCAAAGTTTGTATGAAGTAATTCATAGAAAACAACCTGATTAGTGGCAAGAAAACTCATAGACTTTACACCATGATGGACTTTACCTTCTCACAAAGTTCTTGTTGTTTGACAGACTAAAGTTCAACATATTTGATTCTGCAAGTTCCATATTCACCATGTGACATTTTCCTGTTTTCTTGATTAAGATTTTTCTTTCTGGTCACTGTTTTGAGTTCAATTGATATCATAAAACAAAATTTTATGCAAGTTCAAAGGGTCTTCTTGAAAATGACTTTAAAGCATGTTTTGAGGATTGGAAAAAATGGCATAAGTAGAACTTCGATTATCCGGATTGTTCAAAATAAACAAAAATTTTACGAATTTGCTGATTTGCACTTGGCGAATTATGACACTGTTTATGTACGTGATGGAATGCATAACATTTTTTGTTTCAACAACATCTCACCCAGCACAGTGGTTGTAAACTCTTAAATATATTTTGCGTCATAATAAAAAATATAACTTGACATATGTATTTATAAATAATTTATACTCAAAATACATCATTTCTATGACCAAGGGCGGCGTAAGGCATGGGCGATGTGGGCCACCACCTATGCCTCACGGTCCGAAGGGCCTCGCGCCTCGAAGGTTCATGCATTACTTAAAAGCCGAGAATGCGACGAAAAAATTTTACTCGTCATAAAACGATAAATAGTTTGTCAAATTTTTATTCATAAAAATGCAGTTTCAACCGCTTTTTATTTTATAAAATCCATCTTCTTGTGCAGCCAGAGGGCCTTTTAAACAATAGGTAGTCTGTTAGCGCTGGTCAGTAGTAGTCCAAATTCAATAAAACATTTGTTTCTTGAAAATTTGATCACGATTTAAATACAGTATTTACTTTTAATATTACTGATATGTCATCGAAAAGAAAATGTGTTGTATTATCATTAAAAGACAAATTAAAGTAATAAAATAAAATTGAAGACAAAACTGTCTTCAATTTTATTTTATTAAAAATAATTCTCCATCGGACAAACTTAAACAGAACAAATTAAAGTATTTGTTTTGATTTTTTGGATTTTTCCTTATCCGGACAACCTTCATCCCCAATTAGTCTGGATAATTGAGGTTCTACTGTATAACTAACTATACATATTATGTTTTTGAATATTATTTCAATGAATTTAATAGTACAGTGTTTTGCAGATTTAGAAAATATTAATATCCCAGAATGGATTATGGCACCATTTTCCACTCAAATTAAAAATGTCCATATCAACTTGCAAGATGAACTTATTAAATTATTAGCTGACTTTGAAGCAAAAGTGCTTTTTAAAAATTTTAATTTGAGCAATTTCTGGATGAATATAAATATAACACAAAAATACACAAAACTTTGTGATATGGTAAATCCTGTTTTGCTGGCATTTTCAAGTTCTTATATGGTTGAAGAGGTTAAAATGGAATTATCATGGCTGAAACTGGCTATGATAATTCCATCTTAAAGTTGAATGTGTAACTTTCAGGCAATTTAAGACTAAAACTTACAAATTTTGAACTAAATATTGCTAATCTTGCTAAGGATCAATCTCACCTATCTCACTGATTGTCAGTTACAAAAATTATTATTCACATACAGTATATAAAATAAATGTAAAAAATGTAAAATTAAAAGAAATGTAGCCTATTAAAATAGTAAGAGGGTTTTTTTTTTGCTTGTAACACAAACTTTTTGTGGGAGTCAATGTGAGGTTTCAAAAAGTTGTAGAGGGTCCATGGTCAAAAAAGT